TTGTTCAAATAAGTTTTCCACTTGTTGCTCTTCCTCTTCCCCTTTTGGTACCCCTATAATTCGGATGTTGGAATATTTAAAGATGTCCTGGAGGTTCCTAAGCCTCTCCTCATTTTTTAAATTCTTGTTTCTTCATTCTTTTCTGATTGGATGTTTCTTTCTTCCTTCTGGTCCACTCCATTGATTTGAGTCCCTGTTTCCTTCGCATCACGATTGGTTCCCTGAACATTTCCCTTTACTTCACTTAGCATAGCCTTCATTTTTTCATCTAATTTGCAACCAAATTTAACCAATTCTGTGAGCATCCCGATTACCAGTGTTTTGAACTATGTGTCTGATAGGTTGGCTACTTCTGCGTCACTTAGTTGTGTTTTTTCTGGAGCTTTGATCTGCTCTTTCAGCTTAGGCCATTTTTTTTTTTTTTGTCTTGATATGCTTGTTACGTAATGAGAGGCAGAGCCTTAGGTGTTCACCAGGGCAGAGCAACCCAGTTGCTGGGTTTTGATGCTGTATGTGGGGCAGGGGTCCAAGAGGGAACAATGGTGCTTGCTCTGCTCTCTGCTGGATTTCAGTCACTTCCCTTGCTTCCCATGAGTAAATTGGGCTCTTCTGGTGCTGATTCCCATGTGGGTGGGTTTGTGTACGTCCTGGGACCCTGTGGGTCTCTCCAACGAAGTCTCCTGGAGACTGGGAGTTTCTTCTGGCACCTCAACCCCCACAGATGTTTTCAATCGGTGTTTTGAGGCTTTATTTCCCTGTGCTGGGACCCTGGGTTGAGTGGTCTGTCTTGCTCCCCAGTTTCGCCTGGTTTATTTGCCCATGAATGTGGGACTGCCTGGTCCACCAGCTGCCTTGTGTGCCACACTCCTCCACAATCCGACACCTCACTGGGTCCACTAGCCACCGCTTTGCTGAGACCCCTCTCTGCCCAGCTGCCCTACTCCGCCCCTCCTACCGGTCTGTATGACTGTGCCTACTTTAACATCTTGGTTGTTGCACTTCCCCATAGTTCTATTTTCTGTCAGTACTGGTTGTTTTTGTTTCTAAATTGTTGTTGTCCTTATTTTGGTTGTGTGAGGAGGCACAGTGTGTCTACCTATGCCTCCATCTTGGCCAGAAGTCTCTATTTATTTTTAGAGAGGGGGAAGAGAGGGAGAAGGAGAAAAACATCCATGTGTGGTTGCCTCTCACACGCCACCTACTGGGGACCTGGCTCACAACCCAGGCATGTGCCCTGACTGGGGATCGAGCCAATGACCCTTTGGTTTACAGGCCATCACACAATCCACTGAGCTACACTAGCCAGGGTTCTAATGTATTATTTTTTATTTCCTTAAATTCTATCTTCTGCAGCCCTGGCTGGTGTGGCTCAGTGGATCAAGAGCTGGCCTGCAAGCCAAGGGGTCCGCTCAATTCTCAGTCAGGGCACGTGCCTGGGTTATGGGCTAGGTCGCCAGTGGGGGGCACATGAGAGGCAACCACACATTGATGTTTCTCTCCCTCCCTTCCCCTCTGTCTAGAAATAAAATCTTAAAAAAAAAATTCTATCTCCTGCAATATATATTTCCACTAACATTTATATTTTAAAACCAGAATACACTCCCAAAGGAGAAGATATTCATTGATTCAGTGGCACAATGGCTTGTACAATGGCTTGTACAAGCAAGGGACTCTTTACGTTCAGAACTACAGTGCCTTTCACTGAGCTGAAAGGCACATTAGACAACAACCACTTCACTGAGATGGGGAGTTACTTGTTCACTGTCACCATGAGTCCATCCTGTCTCACTTTCATTTTCATTATCTCTTTCTATACTGGAGTTTTCCCTAAGCTCATAAATATGATGTCTTCTGAATCTTACCAGCAGAACTCCATGAACCCTTTGTTCCTCTCTAGCTGTCATTCGATCTTTCTCTGCCTCACATAAACATCTCAAAAGAGATGTTCCTTCCTCAGCTTCCTTCACTGACTCGGTGTTGTCTCCTTGGCAACAGTGCCTTTTCTTAAGAGGCACAAAATAAATATTTATCAAAAGAATCTATTGCTTTACACTTACTATTCTTCCAAAGTGGCTCTCAGTAAGGTTACTTCCAATTGCCAAATCCAGTGGGCATTTGAAGGTCTCCATTTTTCTGAATCCCTTTGCATTTAATAGTGTGGTTCCTTAAAACATTTTGTGCTCAACATTTTCTCTACCTGGCTTCTAAGACACCATACTTTTCTTTAGTTCTCATACTTTACTGCTGCTGTTATGTTTCCATTGCCATCTTTCTTACTGCTCATCTACTCCTTAAATGTTGCTCAGCTTGGCCTTGAACCTGTTGTTCTTATCCTACATTGCATGTCTCAAAGTTTGCTCCCTGAACAAGTGGCATCAGCATCAACTGAGAACTTGTTAGAAATTCAACTTTTTGGCACTCACCTGCTGAATGAGAGACCTCTGAGAAGTTCACCTATTTATGATTAAAAAAACTATAATAGGGAGCTTTCTGAACTTAATAAAGTTTCCAGCAAAACTTAAGGCATAGCCCTGGCTGGTGCGGCTCAGCTGGTTGGAGCTTCATCCGGTATACCGAAAGGTCACAGGTTGGATTCCTGGTCAGGGCACACATCTAGGTTGTGGGTTTGGTCCAGTCAAGGCGCGTAGGAGAGGCAACTGATCAATGTTTCTCTCCCTCTTTCTCCCTTCCTTCCACTCTCTCTAAAATCAATGACCATGTCCTCAGGTGAGGATATAAAAAAAACAACAACTTATGGCATAGATAGCAGAAAATCTTTTGGCAAACATCAGATTTAATAACTTATAGTTGCCTTATAGTTTAGGAATAAGACAACTATGCTCACAGTTTCCACTACTAATCAACACCGCGCAGAAGGTCTTCGCTAAGAGTAAGATAAGAAAAAGAAATGAGTGGGTAACTATTGGAAAATGACATTACACTATCATTACTTGCATGTGATTTGGTTATCTTCTGAAAAATAAACAAAAGTAGTAGAATTAATAAGGGAATTCAGCAAAGAGGTGAGTGGAAATCAACATACCTATATCAACAACTTTCATATGCATGAAAAAACACCAATTTAAAGGATCCAAGAGTAAAGATCCCAGGGACAATAATAACAAGACCTTATAAAATTCCCATAAATAAACACATTGCAAGCCTTTTGTGGAGAACTTAATATTAAGTTTCTGGAGGATGGCAAAGAAGATTCCACTAAATACACTGATATATTAAGTTCATGAATGGAGAGATCTGATATTGCAAAAATATTATCTCCCCCAACTCAATAATTTTAATGCAATTTAATCAAAATGTCCATTTTCACAGAATTTCATTTTTTCATAGGAAATAATAAATATGCAATAATAACCCACACTCTTTCTTTTTTAAGAAAAAATGGAGCGGGCAGGGGACTTGCTCTATCTACTTGCTCAGAAGGTGTCCAAATACAAGTTTGCAGATAAGAAACTTCACCTGACTGCTGATACCTAAAAAGCTTTACTAAATCAGTTATATCTGACCTCTCTGGAAGGAAATTCAAATCTGGGGTAGGTGGTGTAGCTTCTAAAAACTGCATTACATGTAAATCCCGTCTCTAGATTAGATCACTGTTTCCGGAACTTTTACTGCTATACACGTTGACCACACGGGACCTCTTTCATATCCATTCTCACAAACAGTGGTACCGCATGTTGTGACAGAGAATGGCTGCTTTGGTGTACTCTGCAAGTTGAATTTGAACTCCACCACTTAGTGCAAGTGACCTTGGGAAAGTCTCTTCTCTGAACCACCATTTCTCACCTGTAAAGAAGTCAGGCTTATGCTTCCTAGCTGAGAGCACTACTGAGGACTAAATAATGAGCCGAAACACTTTATAAATGCTAAAAGGTTATCTAGGTATCAAGTTTACGATTCCTAGTCCTCCCCATCCATTCAGTGCAGCCAACATAGATTTATTTCCTTGTTACATAAAGACCCTGGACCAGAACCAGAGAACTGGGCACAACTAAGGTAGCCTTCAGAGGAACTGAGTGAGTAAAGCTGCAGAGATGGGCGCTACCAGGTTTTCCTTGGAAGGGAAGGAATCAATGTTTCTTCTCTAAGCTACTTAAAACAACCTGTGAATTCCCCCATATAGGCATACCTCATTTTACCCTGCTTCCCTTTATTGCACTTTGCTGGTATTGCATTTAAATAAAATTGATTGATTGATTGCTTTTAGAGAGAGAGGGAGAGAGAAAGAGGAAGAGAGAAATGTGGATGCGAGAGAAAAACATCGATCAGTTGCCTCCTGCACACGCCTGAACTAGGAATCGAACCTACCACCTTTTGGTTACAGGACAATGCTCCAGCTGAGTCACACCGGCCAGTACTGGTGTTTCATTTTTTACCAATTGAAGGCAAGATCCTCCACCGGCAAAGACTCATGACTCACTTTATTCTGGTGGTCTGGAACCAAACCCACGACATCTCTGAGGTGTACTTGTCAAGACCACTTGCATTTTTCCATTCTCCACCCCACATACTGCCTTCACACATGTTGTTCAGACAAGACCAGGCCATTGAGCCCTTTGCTTCCTAGCTCAGAGCCCTTCGTCTAAGAAAATTCCCGAAAACCTCTTTGTTCTTTTTAATTACCAGGCACTTCAATAAGAGAAAAGGCTCAGTCTGATGCTGAAGTGCACTAAAATGAGCAGATAAATTTTTGCCAAATCTGGAAAGCATGTTGGGATGGTTTGCCTTAAAATATAAACTGTGCACACATATGAAATTAATCTCTTGGCGCCCTGGGAGATGTGTCAGGAGTTAGGTCATTGTCTTCAAAGCAGCCCAAAGTGACAAAGTGAGCCCTGTGTCTTGCCTACGGGGAGAAAGATGCCCTGCAGATGAGAGGCGATGAGCGGAGATAGCTGGTTTCACATCAAAGACTTGAGTGCATTTCAGGAGAAGAGTCTTTTCTGTCCTTGGGTTTGAGATCTCAAGCTGAGAGTCCAGGGTAGAAGACACTAGTTAGTTTGTTCTTTATTTTCATTGGAAAGTTACAGGGTTACTTAACAAAATGAATATCCAGGACAAAGATATCCAGTGGTCTATGTACAGGCCCAGCCCAGGGTCCACACCTCCTGAAGGGTCTCACCCCCAATGCCTCAGTTGGCTTCTTCTCAGGCCCCTAGGAACCAATCACAAAGCCACAGGGAACAAAAACCAGCCTGACCTCAATACCTGCTTTCACCCCAAAGGGAGGTGGCAGCTGCTACCCTGGAAGCCAGGCCTAGCCCTGGGGCGGTGGGTGTGGGGTTTTCTCTTGCAGGAGCTCACCCTCTAGCAACCCCATCCAGGCATTCTCTCGGACATTTCTGGGACTATTTTGATGGGCTCCTGGGTTCCCACTCTGGTCTTCTTTTTTTTCAAGCAGTCATTTTAACACTGAGGCATTCCGGCCTCACATCCTCAAGGACAAGCATTTGCTCTGTTGCTTTTCTTTTGTCCCCATTTTTGTACAAAAATGACAATACTCTTGATGAGACCATTTTTTGCTCAAGAAAACCAAACTTAAATGGTTCAACAGGTACAGTTCTGCTGGTCAATCTGCTTCCGACAGGGCTCCATGGTAACAGCGACGCCCACCCCACTCCGGCCAGATGTCATGCGGGTCACCTCACTCCAGGTGTCGGTGTCAGGGTCGTAACACTCCACACTGTCCAGGAACGTGTGACCATCGTAGCCTCCTGCAGAGAGGGCAGAGGGGAGAGTCAAGGCCTTCAAGGGTAGGAGAAAGAAAGAAGAGGAAGAAACCACAAAAAAACCCGCCTACAGTGATTCAAGCCTGCTTAGCCTTCTTCACCCAGGGCCCTACCCCCAGGGCCTCACCGAGAACGTAGATTCTCCCCTGGTGCACAGTAATCCCCAGGGCACTCCGCCGATGCTTCATGGGAGCCACGAAAGTCCAGGTCTCTGTCTCCACATTGTAGCGCTCCACACTGTTCAGCTGGTCCTGACCGTCATAGCCCCCCGCGGCATAGATGCTGTTGTGCAGGACGCAGACCCCTAAACCACACCACAGCGAGGGTGACTCCGGGACCCAGCCTGGAGGGCCCCAGCCACCACCGTCTTGGGGGATCCTCCCCTCCTCCCTCTCCCAAGGGACCTTTCAGAGACAAAGCCAGGCAAGAGGAGCTTGGATTCTGTCAGAATCCAGCTCTCCTGTGTGTACCACAGGGTTAATCAAGGTGGGAACAAGAGGCCTCACCCAGGCCTGGCCAAATTTCACTCTCAGGGATGGGAGGTTCCTCCTCCATGGTCCCCTGCCCTCGGCCCCCACCCACCTGCCCCACTTCGGATGGTATTCATGGGGGTGATCATTCGCCACTCATCTCTCTCTGGATAGTAACACTCGGCTGAGTTGAGGCGGTTCGTCCCGTCAAAGCCCCCGACGGCATAGAGCAGCCGGTTGAGAACAGCCACTCCCACCCCAATCCTTCGGGTCAGCATTGGGGCCACCAAGTGCCACTCGTCCCGCTCTGGCTCATACCTGCAAGGGCATAATAACGATGACAACAACAATCACAGCGGACCCTCAAGGAACACTTCTAAGTCCCACTATTCTGCTAGCTCTTGGTGTACTAGTGCTTTAATCCTCGCAATTGTTCTCCAAGGCACGAGTCATCAGCCGTTCCATTTTCAGATAAGGGAACTTAGGTTCACAGCAGTCATGTGCTCGAGGTCACACATGCATATCTGTTGGACCCTGACAGCTGCAGCAAACCACTGCCGGGCCGTGCTGAGCCTTACGCATGTTACCTCACCAATGCACCAGCCTAGTGGGGCAAGGGGGTCCTCATTAGTGTCCACCCCTCTTCAAAAATAGTAAGATGAGCCCTGGCTGGTGGGGCTCAGTGGGTTGAGCGCCAGCCTGTGAATCATAGGGATGGCAGTTCCATTCCCAGTCAGGGCACATGCCTGGGTTGTGGGCCAGGCCTCCCGGCTAAGGCAACCACACACTGATGTCTCTCTCCCTCTTTTTTTCCATCCCTTTCTCTGAAAATAAATAAATATTTTAAAAAATAGTAAGATGTAGGCACAGAGGGGTGACCTCAGGGACACCAAAGAAGCAGTGCAGCTGGAGTCAGACCCAGCTCTCTCAGACACCAGAACCCCATTCTAACAAGGCTACCTCCCAGGATGGTTTTTCTCAGGGTGTGATGTCAGAGGTGGGTCTGGGCAATTCTGGTTCATGCATGTGCTCCTGGAGTAATTAACAGTGTCCCTTTCTTTCTCAAAAGCGGTCTGTTAAGGGTGATGCATCATCCCATTGCCCTGTTCACAGATCACATGCATTAGAAACCTCTGGGGTATTTGTTTAAAATTCCCAATCCCCAGCCTCGCTCTAAACCCACCCACCAGTGCCATCTCTGCACCTCCAGCAGTGGCCTGGGGAGCTTGTTTCAGCGAGTTCTCCAGGTGAGAACTATATCCTGGATCACACTTCTGGAAGAAGAGAAAGCAGAGCAGTAAGCTACGCCAAAGTCAAAAGCCCAAAATGCTTGGCCTCTAATCTTAGGGTCCCTACGCACAGCTGTGCAGACTGTGCACTGCACCAGGGCACGACATCCTGGGGAGCCCTTTCCACATACCAGGCCTCATACATCTGTTCGAACAAAATTAGCACATTACACCAATTTCAAACTGACGGAACTTTTTCCAGGTCTGCACAAAGGAGCAGTATGGTTTTATGATGGCCCTGTAAGCAGTTCCCAGGCCCAGACACATCATCCAAGGTCACCACCATAAACAGCCCAAGAGTTTAGCTTTAACTTGAGGCTTCTCCCCCTAAAAGCAGGTAGCAGAGATAGGACTCAACAATAGGGGGAATCCCCAATGCCAATGACTCAGGACCCTCTGAGCCCACCCCCTCTGGCCCTGCTACTCACCTCTCCACACTGTTGTGGTGGATACAGCCATGGGAGCCACCAACAGCATAGATGTGCCCATCGATGACCCCAACCCCGATTCGGTTGCGTGGCACGCTCATGGGAGCACAGGGGGACCACTGGTTGGTCATGGGGTTGTAGCAGTCCAGAGCATTAGAGTCGGTGTTGCCGTCGGGTGAGTTGTTTCGGCCGCCCACGGCATACAGCAGCCCGCCCACCACGCAGCCTGCTAGGCCACTGCGAGGCACCTGCAGGTCTGCCAGCCGGAGCCATGTGCCATCACTGGGGTTGTAGGCCTCCAGGTAGCTGAGTGACTGGCGGAAATAGCCACCAGCAGTGTAGATGAGCCGGCCCACCTTGGGTGCCCGGCAGGGCATCACTTGTGTGGGCTTGTGCAGGGTGAGCTCCTGGAAGATCTTGACCAGATAGTCCTTGCAGCGGGAGTCTGACTGCAAGATCTCGCACTTCTGCAGCTGCATCTGCAGAAAGTGGGGTGTGAGCGAGTGGCAGCGCACAGCCCGCAGCAGCGCCTGAATGTAGAAGCGTCGCTGCTCACAGTCGTACTTGACCCAGTTGATACAGGCATGGAAGACTTCAGACTCGCAGCGCACATTCAGATCATCCCGGCTGATGAGGGTCACCAGCTGGCAGTGGGACAGGTTGAAGAACTCTTCTTGCTTGGCCACCTGCAGAGGGTGTTAGTGTGACAGGCTGACTTCCACATCTCCCCCCAGTGTCTCAATTGGCAGTATGACCTTGGACAAGTCACAAAATGTGTCTCTGACAATCTCAGTTTCCTCATCTGTAAAATGGGAATTTGAATGGTATGAACCTCATTGGTTGTGAGGATTAAATAAGTTAATACTATGCGCCAGGCATGGAGTACATAAGTACTCAGGTAAATGGGAAAACACACAATATACCAATGCCTTTTTGTATAATTTTTTGTAAGAACATTATCTTTTATGCCCTGGTGGGTGTGGCTCAGTGGATTGAGTGCCAGCCTGTGAACCAAAAGGTTACCAGTTCGATTCCCAGCCAGAGCACATGCCTGGGTTGCTGGCCTGGTCCCCATTTGGGGGAGTCCAAGAGGCAACCAACTGATGGTTCTCTCACACATCAATGTTTCTCTCCCTGTACTTCTCTATCCCTTCCCCTCTCTCGAAAAGAGTAAATGAAATATATTTTTTAAAAAGAACATTACCTTTTTTTAAATGCAATTATTTTTTCAAAAGGGAAGAATGACTAAAAAGGAGTAACAATAGAATAGTCTAGAAAGAGCCCTGGCTGGTATAGCTCAGTGGATCGAGCACTGGACAATGAACCAAATGGTTGCCAGTTCAATTCCCAGCCAGAGCACATGCCTGGGTTGTGAGCCAGGTCCCCAGTAAGGGGCACATGAGAGGCAACCACACACTGATGTTTCTCTTCCTCTTTCTCCCTCCCTTCCACTCTGACTAAAATAAATAAATAAATATTTTTTAAAAAAAGAATAGTCTAGAAAGAAAAAGTGCAGGCTCTAGCCCTGACTGCCGTGGCTCAGTGGGTGGGGCATCATCTTGCAAACGGAAAGGTTGCCAGTTCCATGTCTGGTTAAGGCACATGCCTGGGTTTCGGGACAGGTCACCATTTGGGGTGTGTGATAGGTAACAGATGGATGTTTCTCCCCCACGTTAATGTTTCTCTCCCTTTCTATCTCCCACCCTTTCCCTCTGCCTAAAAATAAATAAAATCTTTTTTTGAAAGTTGCAGGCTCTGAAGAAAGCAGCCTGAGTTGTAATTTTGGCTCACTACTTTCTAACTGGATGACTTTGGGCAAAATGTCCCATACCTTCATTTTCCTCCTCTGTAAAGGGGATTATACTAGTAGCTCAGTCGGGCTACTCCGAGGACACAAAGGGCCCCGGGCAAATCCTTCCTGTCAGGCACTGCCTTATATAAACAGACCCATCAGCAGGTCATCACTGTTCTGAAGCCCCAAGCCCACGCAATCCCTTCAAATAAACACTGCAGAGCAGTGGAAGATTCCTGCTCAAAGACCACCTTTCTGGAAGCCACTGGTTCTAATGCCAGAGTTCCTCAGGACAACTGGTCAATCCCACATATGGTAGAGAGGGAGGAAGAGAAATGTCAACCAGCCACTGAAGGAGGATTTTTAAATACTTCCAGGAAGGCTTTCCAAAGCATACTTCCCCCTGAATTAGGAAGATTCAGTGATTTAAAGATGGAAATCGCTTAGAACAGAGGCTGGCCCACAGCAAAGGCTCAACAAGCACTCATTATTTCTATTCACACTTCCTCCACCTAAAAATGAAAATGAAACCAAGAACATAGGATGATGCTTTATGGATCAAAGAAAACACATGTACAGGTCGTATCTGCAGTTGGCAGCATGTTGTGGGTGCTCAGTGAATATTCGCTGACTGTCTGAGATGTTGGGCCCTGCTCTGCACACCCAGGGTTGAGCTGCTGTCCTGTTTGCTGCACCCTGTCCGCAGCCTGGACCCCAGGGAGACCGGGTAGCCCAGATGCCCATGAGGGTCTCACTTGCCTCAGCTGGTTTCCTAATCAGTCACCCTGGATGTGTAGACTAGAAGCTCAGAGCTCCACTCTTCTCCAACTCCTTGCCTTCACCCTTCATATCTCAAGAGAGACGTTGATGATTACCCGTGGTCCTTGGTCCTTAGATACCACCCTCATGTCCCCTCCCCCAACTCACCTCCCCGAAGTGCATGTAGATGTACTCTCGGGCGCGCTGGTGCAGCTCAGCACAGCCAATCTGCTCAGCGAAGTTGGCAATGCCAATGGCGTTGCTGGGATCCAGCTGCTGTACCAGGAAGTCACTGCAGGCACGAACAACGCTGTCGATCTGATACATAACAGCACCGTTCATGACATGGAGCACACACTTCTCGCCCATGGAGATGGAGGCTGTGTAGGCAAACTCAATGAGACGCTCCATGACCTTGGGGTGGATACCCTCGATGGACACCACCTCCATGCCCTGTTCCCGTAGCCCATTGGTGAACATGGCCTTGAAGACAGGGCTGGATGAGGCTAGAACCACCTTGTGGGCCATGAACTGTGCAGCCGGTGCGTCCTGATACTTGACCTGCAGTGTGACATCGCACAGCTGCTGGCTGAGCCGCAGCTCATTCATGATTCCGAAGGCCTGCTTGGTATGGTCCTCCAGCGTGTAGCTGAAGGTGCGGTTGCCATGCTGGGAGGGGGTCACTTCTGCCTTGCATTCGGTGGAGGCGTACATCACTGTGTCCCCTGCACCCTCAGGGCGCTGCGACCTCAGGGGCAGGAATCGTGTGCGGGCCCCAGCCCCGCTAGGCCTGGGTTCCGGCTGCATGGGGCTCCAGGCGACAAGGGACAACACCACCACTGACACTCAGAGGCCTGGAGGAGGGAGAGCACAGGGCTGGGGGCAGGGCCTGGGTCCAGGCCTCCTTTTTAAACATAAAGTGACTCCTAGACCAATTTTCCTTGCCAAGCCCAAGTGAAGCACTGTCCATTTGTGCTTGCTAAATGTCCCATAGCCTCACTAACCCAAGAATCCACCTTAAAACATGTCAGATGATGTCCCTCCCCCTGCTCAGAATGCCCCCACAACTCCATTGAGCACAAAGAGTAAAACTGAACTCGTCAGTGACCTGCAACGCCCTCCACAGTCAGCCTCTGTCCACCTCTTCCCTTTGTTCACTCTCTGTTCCGGCGTTTGCAGACCTTCTCTTCCTACAGCATGTCCAGCTCACTCATTCACCTCACCAACACGTACTGAGCAGCTGCTGTGTGCCAGGCACTGTTCTAGATACCAGGGCCACAGCAGCAACCAAGACAGACATAAACTGTGCTGGAATTGACAGCTGGGGAGGGAATGGCCTAAAATAAAATAAATAAGAAATTGGAGCCACGAAGAAAATGACAACAGCATTGTGACAGAATGACTTGGGAGCAGTTACTTTAAAACCGGTCTTCCAAGCCTCAGCTGGAGCTGAGACAAGGAGGAACAAACGAAAGGGATGGGGGTGGGAGTTCACAGGGAACAGAGAGTGAGAAGGCTCAAAGGCAGAACTAGAGACAATCTGGAGAATCAGGGAGGAGTGTTATGAGAGAGAATGACAACAGATGGGAGGGTTTTCCATGAAACCTGTGGAGTCTGGAAAGTCAGGGCATGAGTTCTGTTTTGAAAGGTCCTGCTGGAAAAAGATGGAACCTGTAAGAGGGTCCCCAGGTCCTCCATCTTATCTTTCTGGGGCTCAGCTCGGAGTCACCGCCTGGTTTTATTTCCATCACTGCACTTGTCAGAAACCAAAATGAGCTTCTTTGCTTGCTTGTGAGGGGTGACCTGTTCCTCTAACCCTCGGTGCCTGCACTTCAGAGGGCGTGAGCCCTGTGTAGGTCAGGGTTTTATTCCCCCCTCTCACGTGCCTGCCCCACGTCTCATCTCACCTGGGACCTAGCACTGCGCAGGGGTCAGTAAACTGTGGCTGGCTGATTGCCCCCTCCACTGTGCCTACCACAGCACCCTCATCCACCGGGCCCAGGGCACCGCTTGGCCACCTCTGCCCGGCCAAGGCCCAGGACTGTCTCTTGGACTTTGGCCAGTCAGCGGTGCCCCCTGGGTTCCGGGCACTCACAAAGCGCTAGGTGGGGGAGTGCGCATGCCCCGTCTGAGCCGCCACCAAGGCCTGGAGAAGGGAGGAAGTGACCCCACCGCGGCCTCTGGACTGCCAGCCCCAGGACGCAGATGAAGCCCCCCAACGCCCCGGGGTCCCCAGGCCTCTGTCTGAGCAGCGCTCCTTGGGCCTCTTGTCCGACTTGCGTCGCTCCCGACTTGGGCCGCCACGCGAGTCCCGCCGTCCAACAAAAGGACAGGACTTGAGCCGCCCACTCCTGGCCCTCCGCAGGGCCACGGGGACCCCCAGGCAACCGAGTGGGCCGGGCCGGGTCCGTCGATCCCAGGGCACAGCCGCAGGAGCGCTCCCGGCCCGCCGTGCCCGCAGCCTGGGCGCAGGCCGCTCACTCACCCTGCCATGGCCGCGCTCGGGCTCCGCCTCCGTCGCCCAGGCCCGGGCTCCTCCATCGCTGCGCGCGGGGGCGGGGGGGAGGCACGGAGTGCGCGCGGTCACCGTGACTAAGCAGAGCCCGGCGCCGACTGTGTCAGAATAAAAGTCCCGCGGACGCGGGCCTCCTGTGGCTGTGTTGGCAGTAGGGCGACTTCCCGCTCCCCCACCCCGCCGCCGTCGCCAAGCTGCACAACCCGGCGCAGTGATCAAAGCGTCAGTCTTTGCAGCCCGGCAGGGTCAGGGGCTGCAGCCCTTGGCACACCAAGCCGCGTGGTCAGGGCCGCGGGAAGTAGAACCTCCGGTTCGAGGCCCGGCGCACCCCTACCAGCACCTGGCATCGGTGGACACCCTTCTGTGTCGCGCGCTTACCTTGGCCCCCCTTGTTGCCCAGCTAGCTTTCGCTGCGGGGCAGAGATGCCCGGGACTGGGCCGCGGCTACGGGCACCGTGGCGACACCCGCCCTCCGAGGGGCCGCGGCTGGGCAGCGGACCTCTCCGGCCTAACTTTCGCTGTCGGGGACTGCAGGCGCTTCTTCGATCCCGGGAACTCCGCTCCGGGTGGTCAAGGCCTGCGGGGTCGCAGCCGTCGGGTGGGGGGCGGCCTGGGGACGCCAGGGAAGGAGGAGAGAAGAGGGCGCGGAGGGGAAGGAGCTGAGATTCCCCGCCCTTGGGCGAGGAGCTGGGCGTCGGGCGAGGGCGCACAGCCAGGAGGGCCCGGCCCCGTTACCCCTTTACACGGTCCCTTCCTCCGCCTTATTTCATCTCAGCGCGGGGCTGCTCTCCACCACCACCTGCTCTTCGTCCTTTCACTCAGGCCTCACGGTTCAGTGGTGGCAGGATTCAGCCAGAAGTATCAATCTAGCTGGGGTTCCCTTGTTTTTTAGTTTTAGTTACCGCCAATCTAGAGGCTCGTGGAACTCTTCTGTGGGGGTTCAAACCCTGGCTCTGCCACCCTCTAGCTGTGTGCGGGTGGGACTGTAACTTAACCTCTCTATGCTTTAGTTTCCTCCCACTGAATGAAATGATAGTGCTAGCACCTACCCGCTGGGAGAGCTAAATGTGAATGCCCAGCAAATGTTAACAATTGCTATTTTTTATGGCAAGGGATGCTGATTGGCCATTTATGCTGCTTATGATATAAAATTAACTTTTAAATAAATGGACTTAATGGAGATAGATATAGATATAGATGATATAGATATAGATGATACAACTAAGTGAATAATGGGAACCCTAGACTGAACAGATGTTGGTCTAAGAAAAGATTCGGCAAGTCTCCAGAGTGAATTTGGAGGATTCAAAACCCTTGCCCAGAGTTTGGGATTAAATCCGCATATGCCCTGCCTGGTGTGCTCAGTGGATCGAATGCCAGCCTGTGAACCAAAGGGCTTGCAAGTTCGATTCCCATTCAGGGCACCTGCCTGGGTTGTGGGCCAGGTCCCTGATTGGGGGCATGTGAGAGGCAACCGGCTGATGTTTCTCTCACACATCTTTTTTGTTTCTCTCCCTGTCTTTTTCTCTCCCTGTCTTTTCCCCTCCATTCCCATCTCTCTAAAAATAAATACGTAAAGTCTTTTAAAAAAATGTGCTTGGAGGATAGGATGAGGTTCCCCCCTCCCCGCTTTCACCACTTTCTCAGTTGCGTGAGTCTTCCGTCCTGGGCCACTCCAGAAAAGGACAGTACAGCACAGTCTTCAAATACAAGGAGTGGCCAAGGCTGTGGGGGAAAGTCTTACCCTCTTCCAAGTAACCTCTGTTACCTCAGAATCAAATCTGTAAGCCCTGTGGCCCAGCAGTGCCACCTGTACAGACTTGGCCAAGGTGCACTTGCACACAGGAGGAGTGTGTATGTACATGAGGTGTGTGCTGCAGCATGGCGCATAAAGACAAAGGATTGGACTCAATTCACATATCCCTCCACAGGGCCCTGGTGTACTAAGTGGTGGCACATCCATGCTGAAAATACTGTGCAGTCAGTGAAAAGGAGCAAGGCATTTACCGTATGAATATTTACCTCAATGTTTCAAAGTGTTATTTTTTAAGAAGAAAGAACAAGTGCTATGGACTGAATTGATAGTTTTATACGAGGTCATGAGGGTGGGGATCTCATAAAGGGGTTAATGCCCTCATGAGAAGAGACACCAGAGCCCTGGCCAGGTGGGTCAGTTGGCTGGAGTATTGTCCTCATACACCAATGGGTCGGGGCACATACTTGGGTTGTTGGGTTCCACCCCTGGTTGGGACACATATAGGAGGCTGCCTATAGATGTTTCTCTTTCTCTCTCCCCTTCCTCTCTCTCTGAAATCAAGAAATGTATCCTCCAGTGAGGATTTTAAAAAAGAAGAAGAGGCACCAGGGAGCTTCTCGAATTCTCTACAACATGAGAGCACACAGCCAGAAGGTGACTCTCTGCCAGCTAGGAAGGGAGCCCTCACCAGCACCCAGCCATGCCGGCACCCTCACCTTGGGTTATCAGCCTTCACCTGTGAGAAATAAATTTCTATTATCTCAGCCACCCAGGCTATGGCAACCTGAGCAGACTTCGGCAGCCAGACAGTACAAAAATCTGTAGAGGGGCAACAGTTTCCAAGATATACTATTAAGTGAACAAAGCAAGATGCATAGCAGAGCAATGCTAAAACTGTGTAAAAAGAGAGATGATATATTTACATTTTGGCTCATTTATTCACAGAATAGCTCTGGAAGTTTCCCAGGAATCCTCACAGTGATCGTGTCCAAAAAGGGTAACTAGTGCTTTTTGAATTTTGTGAAATGTGAATAAGTTAATAAATCTAACACCACAGGTCATTAAACCAAATGAATAACGGGGTGAGCCTCAGGATCCCCTGGAAGATGAAAGGAGCCTGGGGTCGGGGGCACCAGGCCGGGTATGGAATTGGGTCCAATCCTGGAAGTGTCCTGGGGCTGTGACCCCAGGATTGAGTGTGTTTGTGTTCCAAGAATTAGGTTGAGTTCCCGTTCGTGTGGTCTTTGGGGACGGCCTGAGGCTCCCACTGGGTCAGCGCCCCCAAAACGCTCTGCTCTTTGCGGCTGTCTGCAGTTCCAAAGTCTCCCGGAAGGGGGCGAGTCGCGGTCTGAACTCGAAGTCCCCTGCATCGGCCCCACCTCACAGGGGTCAGGAATGCGCCTGGGGACAGACATGGACCGTGGCCAGCACGTCTGTAGCCTTTTATGGGCACAAATGAGGCCCTGGTATCCCCCCCAGCCGAGAATACAGACCCCTCCGGAGGAGCCAGACACCAGGCCTGAGCCTCTGCAGGCCACAGCCTGGGCGAGTGAGTGTGGCTCAGGCACTGGGAGAAGGTACTCGTAGCTGGGAGTTCCCTCATCTGTAGAATGTGGGTGAGGAAGCTCACCATACAAGGTTGCAGTGAAAGGAAAAGATGTGTCTTGGGCCTACCACTGTGAGAAAACTAGCCAGGCACAATAAGCTGTAATTGTTCTTATTATTTTTTAATTTTTTTAATGAAGGATCTGACACCACACTCAAAGAAATCTTGTTTCAGCTAAGAATTGACTGAGTCTCCCGGAGTCAAATTGTACGGTGCCCCGTCTTTGGTGTCCTCTTCTCTAAACCGGAGCTCTGTCCTTGACTCCTTTCTCACTCCCACACTCAATTCCTCAGTATTCCTGCTGTTTCCAAAACTTACCCAGAATCCACACGGTCTGAGTCACCATCATTGTTCCCCTAGGCCAGTTCAGTCACCTTCATCTTGTTCTAGCTACCACATTTCAGAGAACTGTGAACAACTGAATCACGTCAAGTCCTTTCTTTGTCTGGAACCCTCCATGGCTCCCACCTCAGAGCAAAAATGAATCCTCCCCAGAGCTTACAAGGCCCCAAGTGATCTGCCCAGTTGTCTCCCTGCCTTGGTTTCCTCCCACGCTTGCCTCCACCACTGCTCCAGTCACACTGGATCCTTCCTTTTCATGCAACACACAGGCACATTTCAGCCTAAGGATCTTTGCACCTGTTGTTCCCTCATAGGACCTGCTCTTGCTCCAGGTGTTCCCAGGACAATAATGTCTCAGCGCATATCACCTGTCACACCTCTGCAGAGAGGCCACCTCTGACCACCATCGATCGCATCACTGCGTTGTTACCAGGACAGTCTCCATGACTCTTCACTTCGCCATCTCCTGTGTACCCACCAGAGCATCAGTTCCACAAGGGCAGCGGTTTTTGTCTGTGTTCACTGTTGTAGGGTTGGCGCCAGTAAAGTACGTCCCCTGTGTCTCTTCTGTCTACACCATTTTTGGCAGGTTTTCCTATAAATTCCATCACTTAAAAAGAAAAAGTCTGCAAAAACAGCTCTTAAGGAGAGAAATGGTGGGTGAGAAAGCCTCAGTCTGTGGCTGGTGCAGGTACCAGGGTCCCAGTGGCTGTAGGTGCACCAGTAGAGCCGCTGATGTCCAGCCCGTCCCGCTGGGGTGAGGAACGATCCGAGGGGCTGGAGCTGCCATCCAGGCCAGGGGGCAGCCAACGGTGTAGGCCGTCGGAAGCCCCAGTGGCGCTCCCGGATCCCCGGGAGGCTCCTGGGCCTCGACTACAGGGCCGTCTGCCGCAGCAGACAAGGCACAGGAGCGCGTGGCGCAGGTCATGGTTGGTGAGCGTGTATATGATGGGGTTCAGAAGAGAGTTGGCCATAGCCAGGCCCAAGAAGGGATCGGCCTGCAGGAGCACCGGGCAAGCGCGCGCCGGGCAAGACACGTCCAGCAAGAGCAGCAGGAAAAGGGGCCCCCAACACACCACAAAGGCCAGGAGCACTATGCTCACAGTGCGCAACAGAGCCAGAGAGCGCGGCGTACGGCGCGCCCGCCTCGAGGAGCCCCCAACAGCTCCTGGGCGCGCGCGCAGGCGCCGCGCGTTGGCACGCACCTGGCAGTAGATGTGCACATAGAGCGCACAGATGGCAGCCAGAATGCCAAGGAAAGCGAGCACGCAGAAGAGCACATAGGCCTTGGCGTAGAGGGGCAGGACGGTGGAGCAGGAGTCCAGGTGGCCCAGGCAATTCCAGCCCAACGCGGGCAGTAGCCCCAGGAGCAGCGACACGCCCCAGGCGGTAGCCGCCAGGGCCAAAGTGCGCCCTCGACGCGCGGCGGGTGCCGGTCCCCGGCGCGCCATGGTGAGGCGGCGCTCCAGCGCGATGGCCAGGAGACTCAGCACGGACGCGGCTAGCGCCACAAAGACGCCACCTTCTCGCACGAACCAGAGCGTGGGCGACAGGTGCAGTGTGAGCGGCCCTGACAGCAGGATGTTGGCAGCGTAAGCAGCGCCAGCCAGTAGGTCCGACAATGTGAGGCTGCCCAGAAGCAAGAACATGGGCGCATGGAAGCGCGGGTGGCGTCCAAGCACGAACAGCACGGCCAAGTTCTCCAGAACGATGAGCGCGCACACCGCCAGGCAAACGACGGCGTCGGCGCGCAGTCCAGCGCCGGGCTGGTAGCGGGCACCACGGAGCTTGCCGGTATAGTTGTAGTGAAGGACGATTACTTCGCTCACTGGCGCCGGACGCAGCAGTCCCGTCTCCATGGGCCACCTGCCCCAAGGCTGCGGAGAGGTCCATGCAATGTCAGGCTGGGCACACACAGTTCTGGCGACGCAGGACTGGAAAAGGGGCCCTAACCCCCTCTCTTCCACCCCATAGGTACACTGGGGAGCAGGAGGGCTTTGGAGTGGGAGGGGGCTGGCCACAGGGACAGGGAGACACAGTCCCATGGTTTGTGAGGGATATTCATGACTAACACACAAACTGGGATATTCAGAAGTGTACACAGTCGACCACAAACAGAGTGCACACAAATGCAGCCGCACGCAGAAAGGGACATATAAATACAGTGACACATCCACCAGGACATGTAAACACAGTCGCAAACTAGGCCAAAAATACTGGAAGACCCCATCAGGAAAACATGAAAATATATTCACCTATGGACAAAGCGACACATATTCAGTCACATGCAGACAGGATCTCACGCCCAGTGACAAAGACCACAATTTCACAACCTCCACCCACACCCAGCCCGGAGCCTCACAATCTGCTTGTCTTGCTGCACCCAGGGCCTTTTCCTGCTCAGACCCCTTCACCCACTGCAAAACCCTGTGAGTAAGCTGAGCCTATCTGCCCATTTCCCAGAAGCAGAGCCTGAAGGCAACAGACAAGATCCACATGGCAAGGATAGGCTCTTGCAAAGAGACACACATGTCATTAAAGTATAATAACACTTCCCTTGCGACTGCACCCTTTAATCCCCTGGACGACTATTCCCTTAGCCCCCATTTACAGATGAGGAGACTGAGGCTGAAAAGAAGTATCTCACAGAGAAGCAGGCACAAAGGTTTGTGTGTTCCCACATGAACACAGCCATGCAGGAACAGTTGCACAGTCACACAGGTCCCACTTAAAGGAGGAGAAAACTAAGCCTTGGGGAGGAGAACGGACTTATTTGGGCTTGGTAGGAGCAAATGCATGCCAGACAGAATCAGTTGCACACAGGGGACCAGGTGTAAATACACTCACAGAGTCAGGGGGTCTGCCACACTGAAGGAAGGGGCGTCAAGTACACTCAGGCAAACATGGGTTGCACTCGTCCTGATGGGGACTCTACGGACAGGTTCACAGCCTCTGCACCTCCTGCCCCGTCTTGGCTGGCCTGCCCGTGGTACTCAGCCAAACTTGCAGTAGAGTTGCCCGGGTAGGGTGAGGGCCTGTGGATTCCAGGCACCCCCACCCTCAACCCACACCAGCATTCAGCTAGGGAGTCCCTGGCTTTGCCCTCCCTAGAAGCTTCTGGAAAAGGCCTAGGAACCCCAAGCCAGGGGATCCGGGTAGTGGACAGGGCAAACTTTCCAGGCCAGACTGAGCCCCACGCACCCCGGGGACCCAGTGCTATACACTCACCCTGTGCCCTGGTCTGGCGCCCCACACAGTGGCGCAGCCTGGAGCCCAGAGATCAGATGCAGCTCTAGGGGCTGGACTGGAGCTGGGAGGCAGGGCTTGGAGGGTGGGGGTGGGGGCGGGTCCCCAAAGCTGAGCTCTTGCAGTCGCCAGCAATTGCCCCGCCTCTTGGGCTGCGGCACCCAGGCCGTGCTGCCAGCCTGTGCCACCCGCCGAGGCACCGGAGCGCGGCCGGGTGGCGACTGGCACCGGGGAGTCCTCGACTGCCCCCTCCGGAACGGGGCTCCCCTCTCAGGGATGCTCCATTGCCATGGGAGGACCCGGAGACCCTGGAAGGGGAGGAGGGTTCTTAGTGGGGGTGGCCGCGTCCTGAGCCTCTCCTCCCAAACCCCCAGACGAGGGATTCAGTCTGTTCTTGGGCTTCTGGGCACTGACCCCTTCCACTTTCCGCTTACCTTCAACTCACCCTCCTGGGCTGCAACGCAAGGACTCCGGGTGGGCGGAGGGAACACAGCAAGGCAGGATAGGAAAAGTCTTATGCAGGGAGCCGCTGGAGCTTCAGTCCTGTCCCCGAAGCGGACAGGCCTCGGCCCGTCCTGATACCCCAACTCCCACGCCGGGATTGAGGGCTTGAGGCAGCGGCGGGAGGGCAAGGTGCAGGCAGGATTCTGGTGGGAATCTCTGCCCCACCTCCTAGATAAGGAGGATCTGGATGGTGTGCCGCCTGGTTACCCGTTATCACTCCAGAGGGTGGGATTTACTCATCCACTGTGTTTCTGACCCGAGTCCCCACTAAACTGTCAGCTCCACAGTGGCAGGGATTTTCATCTGTCATCTCTCTGGGCATTGCCTGTGCCCAGTAAGTACCTCCTGACTGAGTGGATGAATGAATGAATGGATGAACGTCTCCCTCATTTTCCCTGTCTCTCATTGCTCCTCTCCCAGTCTCCATCTCCGTTTCTCCCTGGCGGTTTGTGGGTGTGTGTCTTTGTCTGTGTCTCTTTCCCACGCCTCTTCCAGGCCTCCCTTCCTCCTGTGGGCCAGTCCTAGCTGGCCCTGCACCCCCTACCCCCAGTTCCCAGTTGCTTCCTGGCTAGGCCCAGCTCCCTCACCCTCAGCCAAAGGCTACAGCCCGGAGCGGGGGCTGGGCCTGGCTGCTGCAACTCTCCCCAGGACAGTGCCCTTCGTTTGGGTTGCCACAGCCTCTGCTGGCTGAGGGTAGGGTGAGGGGGCCCCAGGGGCCTTGAGATGGAGGCTGGGAATGGGGTGGATCTTGGGCACCCTTATGGGGAAGAGGGTCACCCAGGCCAGGTCTTGCCCCCATGTAGCCCCTTGCAGACCCCCGCTGGCTCCTGTCCCAGCTGTTCCTCAAGAGGACAGTTGGTCCTGCTTGCTCTGACCAAATGAAGGCAGCGCAGCCAGCGGAGCCCATGGGGTAGGGGTAGAGGACCGGGTAACACTTGTGTATGGCGTGTGCTCCCCAGCAGTGGGGACCAAGCCTGCTGGAAGGTGCCCCGAAGAATCCCCTGGACAGAAGCGTGCCTGGCACACAGCAGGTGCCCCATAAGTGGGCCCCTTTCTGCAAAGGGAAGCCACACCCCTGGGTGGGAGGGTGGTTGCTTCGCACCTCCCCGGTGGCAATCTCACCTCCTGTAGCCCCCTAAGCAGGGGAAGGAGGCTCTTCCTGTCAGGGTCCAGGCCCACCCCCTCCCACCCTTGCCACCTCCAGGCGCCTCTTTCCCATAGACTGGGACCCTAGGGACTCAGGCTCCAGAGACTGGGGCTGACGTCAGACGCCTCCTAGATGCCTCTGCGGCTGCCCATCCTGCAGCCACAGCTCTTAAAACTCAGATCACACCCCTCTCCTGCTCCAAACTCTACCATGGTTCTCTGCATCTCTCTGAGTCAAAGCCCAAGTCCTCCTCAGGGCACACAAGGGCCTGCACAGCCTCTCCTCCTTGCTTCTCTCCTCTCTGGCTGCCTTACTCCCTTCCAGCCTGACTGGCGTCCCCCTTGTTCCTCACATAGTTGAAAACCTTGGGACTTGAGAATTCATCTGCCTGAAACACGCTTCTTCCAGCCTTTCCAAGCTGGTCACCTCCTTCAGAGAGGACTTCCTTGATCTGTCCCCCTCCTCCCCAATCTCACATGGCTGCCAGCACCATCTGAAATTATCTGGAGTATGTGTTTATCTTTCTGGCCTATTGCATGTCTCTGCCTGAGCCCCCCCAGCTCCAGGAAGGCAGGAACCCTGTCTGTCCATCTGCCTAGCACTCGAATAAATGTTAAGCTGGGGGTATGGAGCCAGACTCAACTGAACTGATGCCCCTCTGAGCCTTGGTGGCCTCATCTGTAAAATGGCGATAATAACAGTGTCTATTTGGATGACTATTGTTGAGGATGAAAGCAACAATTTGAACAGAGCTGGGACATGAAGTGAGAGCCCAGTAAAAATGTTAGCTTCGGTATATTGGCCACTGCTGCATCCCCTGGGAGGCATTAGGAGGGGACTCAGCTCAGGCCCCACCAAGGACCCCAGAAAGCACCAGCTCCCCACCCTACCCTTTCTGCAGCAAAGCCCGGTCTCTTCTCAGGGGAAGGGCATCCCTGGCCTCTGAAATCCTGCCGCAACCCACTCTCCTAATGCATGCCTGGGCCGGCACACCCACCGGGCAGGTTCTGCTGCCAGAGCCCTCGCCTACAGAGGCCACCTCGCCCAGTCTTTGCCTGGTCTTCATTCACTGAGCTGTGTCTGCACTTCTGAAAGGAAAAAAATGCCTCTCATGGTCCCCTTAGACACTCAAGCATGGGAGAGAACCAGTTCCCATCCTCCTCCCCACCTCCCACCAACCCATGTGGAGCTGGTGGATATGGCTGCAGGGAGGTGTGAACTGACAACTTGCTCATGATCGGTGGTCAGAGCAGGCATGGGGTACTCAGACTGGAGGCCAGCGTGGCAACTCCAGCTCACAACCACCGGCTTGTTTGGTCGGCTCAGAGATTTCCTCTGCAAACATCTGTTTGAACTGTACCGAAACACTATATTGTACTGTAGTCAGTAGCAACGAGTCGACCCAGTATCCAGATCTGGGTTTCTAAATACCATTTTCCTATACAAGAAACTAGGGTTCTTTAGAGAAATGGCTGATTCTAGGGTTGAGTCAGAGAACACACAAAATGATCTTGGAGTATCTTCCAATGTCAGAAAGTGTTTTTTTTTAAAAAAGCACTGGCTAGTGTGGCTCAGTGGATTGAGTTCAGGCCTGTGAACTGAAGGGCCGCTGGTTCGATTCCTAGTTAAGGGCACATGCTTGGGGTGTGGGCCAGGTCCCCGGTTGGGAAAGTGCTAGACAACCAATTACATATCGATGTTTCTCTCCTTCTCCTTCTCCCTCCCTTCCCCTCTCTCTAAAAATAAATACAATCTTCTGGGAAAAGGAAGTCAAAGGGACTCAGGGGCCAGCCTGAAAGAACTCCCACTGGCTGAAGCTGGAACAATTTGGATAACAAAATAAATAGTAATAGTCTTAATTATAACCCAAAGAATATAATAAATGACCACAAGTCCGTACTAACTTAAAGACATGATTGAATCCACTTAAATTGGGGGAGAAGAAACAGATCACCCTGAGAGAAGAATTCCAGTTAATACATGTAAAATGAATGATGAAAACATCCCCGGCTGATGTGGCTCAGTGGACTGAGTGCCGGCCTGTGAACCAAAGTGTTGCCGGTTCGATTCCCAGCACATGCCTGGGATGAGGGCCAGGTCCCCAGTATGGGGCACGTGAGAGACAACCACACATTGATGTTTCTCTTCCTCTCTTCCTCCCTCCCTTCCTCTTTCTCTAAAAATAAATAAATAAGTAAAATATTTTACAAAATAAAATAAAATGAATGATGAAAATAGAAAATTAACATTAGAATACCACAAGGCCCTGCACAGCCGCTCCTCCTTACTGATTAATGGAGAAGTTGATGGGCAAAACTTTAAGGAGAAACAGGACATTTGCATAGGATCAAAGTTTCCCCCACAAAAGTATTATTAATCACTTTGGTGGCCTTAATTTTCATTCACGAATTTAGCTCCTCCCTTTAAGGGTGGAGCTAAGCTCCCCTGTCCTCTCTCAGGACTGGACTTGGCGCCTTGTTTCTAACGAATGAAGTGTGTCCACGCTAAAACCTGCACATGACGTTGCTAGCAGCGCTGTTCATAACTGCCAAGACCCAGAAAAAACCAGGATGTCCTTCAGTGGGTGAGTGGATAAGTTGTGGCACATCTATCCAGATAATGGAATATTTATTTAGTCATCACTAAAAAGAAATGAGCTTTCAAGCCATGAAAAGACACGGAGGAATCTTAAATGCATGTTACTAAGTGAATCTGATCCAAAGGCTACACACAACTACACACCACATGATTCCGATTCTGGAGATGCCAAAACTATGCAGACGATAAAAAGATCAGAGGTTGGCGGGGTTAGGTGGTGGGGAGGGATGGATAGGCAGAGCCCATGGGATTTTTAGGACCATGAAACTACTTTGTATGATATTGTTATGGTAGATACATGTCATGATACATTTGTTCAAACCCACAGAATGTACAATGCCAAGTGTGAACCCTAATGCGGACTATGGACTTTGGGTGATGGTGTGTTTCAGTGTAGGTTCATCAGTTGTACCAAATGCACCACCGTGCTGTGAAATGTCCTTGGTGGGGAGAGTAGTGGGGAGAGCAGGTATATGGGAAATCTCTGTACCTTCCGCTCAATTTTACCATGAACCTAAAACTGCTCTATAAATAAAGTTCATTAATTTTTTTAAAAAGGTAAAATGGTCAGCCTGAGAGGTCCTCAAGTGGGCAAATACTCCCAGACCATGCCACCTGGCAGCTTTGGACATTTTTATACCAGTCTGACCCCTGGAGATTATTTATTATCCAGACCCCTGGTTGAGATGCCAGGAGCATGGGTTCTAGGGCAGAGAGATGGCAAGATGCCTCAATTTTCTAAGCTACCCTGAGCCTCAGTTTCCTCCTCTGAAAAGGGGAACACACATTGTCCCATGCCCATAAGGGG